ATGAATACAATTAATTAATTAGCACATCATGTAATTAGACATTTAAATCGCTTGACAGCTCTAATAAAAAAACAAACAAACAAACTGAGAAAACAGCAAAATGTGTCATTTTTTCCAGTGCAAAGTCTCCAGGGTAAATAATGATTGAACCCAAGGCTCAAAACAGTTTCCACACTGATCAATCAATCGATCGATCAGGTGGCTAAATCAATCGATCGATCAGGTGGCTAACCTTGGCGTTGGCTCTGTGGCTGGGCTCTTCTCTGGGCTTGAGCGCGCCGATGCCGATGGTTGGCAGCTGCGTCTGGAACACAGACATGCGTCCTCCGGTGGGAGACAGCAGCTTGAAGGCAGCCTGCAGCGCCGGACCCAGAGCAGACTGCGTCTCCATCGTCTGACCGAACATCTGCGGCAGACTCGCCAGCAGATCCTGGACCAGCTGCAACGACAAGCCAGACCAGCGTTTAGCGTCGCGTCTGAAGGCCAGAGCACTTGTGCTGCTCGCTCGCTCACCTCTTTGCTTTCGCTCAGGTTGACCAGAAGGCTGTCCGGCGTCGGCAGAAACACATCTGAGGGAGGAACGGCCGACAGTCAGCTCACTTCTGAGACCTCACTGCACATCTGTAGCGATGGGAGAACACGCTTACCGTCGATGTCTGACACGATGAGCATCTGAGGCTGCGACAGGCCTTCCTGGAGGTTGTAGAAATGGATGGTGCTGTCGAACGTGATGAAGCCGATCTTCGTCCGAGTGTCTCCGGGAAGCCTTCATCATAAAGAAACACACGACACACTGATGAGTGAGCTCAAATGCAGCAGAAGCAGCGATGCTCACTTACGAGTCGAGGCTCTCCAGGAGCGTCTGACAGAAGACATCCAGATATCCGGTCTCCACCGCGTTATGAGACACGTCCAGGATGAAGAGGTAAACAGCGGGCTGCGGCGGCCTCAGCTGCGGACCAAACACTGCGCTTCAGATCGCTGGCATTACATACATCTCACTTCTCTCAGACACTCTCAGTCTGTATGTAGAGTTTATAAGTGCCTGCTGCATGGCTTATCACTTCATAATGTGGAAATCTTGATATGAGCATATAATTTAACAGATCTGTACATTATACTATGATGTTACAGATAGAACTGTCTGTCAGTGCCCACATGAAACCAGGGTTATTATAGCTAACTAAAACCATTTAAAAAAAGTTACTTAAATGATAACTAAAATATTATATTAAAAAAACTTAACTTTTAATATTAGCTAGTTGCAATGGAACCATTGTTCATTTAATTATGATTAACTAAAATAAACTAAAAAGGAAATAAATTACTAAAAACCTCACAGACATAAACTAGTAAAAATGACAAACACACAATAAAATGATTAATTAAAAAAAAAAATAATGAAAAACAAAAAACTCAAATTTTAAAAAATTCAGAATCATTATTTAGACAAAAAAAAAGAAAAACATACAACAAAATTATTACAACTTTAAAATTACAACAAAAACGGAAAATCTAAAATGAAACATAAAAATGTTAATAAAAACTATAATAACTCGTACCATGTATTCTGACGGGGCGATGAACTCGATGGTGGCGTTCTGCACCTCTGGTCTTTTGTGAGGCGCTCCATACAATCTGCTGACCGGATTATACATGAACTCCTCTGGAACTGAGATCACACGACTCAAAACACATTCACAAACATGATTTACATGATTCAAACATCACACCACAAACACCACAACAATGCAGTGCATACGGCTTTAATTATGCAGAATCTCTCTGATCATCACACTAGCGCTCACCATCATTGACTCGGTGACACAGGTTGCACTTCCATCTTCTAGCGTCCAGGAAGGTCACGAATGGGTTGATGTAGGTCCGACAGGAGCGGCAGCGCACAATATTACTGGACGTCACCACCGGCAGTTGCTGAAGAGGAAGACCATTAGCTCATTAATAACTTATAAGATCATTTCCCTCAGAGGATGCTCGTGTTGAGATGAGCACTAGTGTTCTGATTGTGATAGGATTAATAAAGCTCGCCCAAAAATCAAACTCTACAGTTACTAGCCAAATATCAACAAAATCCATCTTTGCACTGCATAAGTGAAGCACAGAAGCTGCATCTGAAGTGCCATTAGATGCATTTACAGACTGTTTAATGCAGCCCTAAGGTGGGATGAATGTATTTACACAGTACAAATAATGCTGAAGATTAATATCTTAAATAATGTTTTAAATACATCAACATAAAACGACTGAGGAAAAAAAAAAAGAAATAAAAAAGCTGAAACAATTCTGAACGCAATTCTGCAATTTGGCGACTAAATAAAAAAGTAATTTTTTCCTCTTCTTTTTACTGCCTGACTATTTGACATATAGGATATTTTTTGCTTTTTAAAACCGGAAAGCTTAAATTTCTGTTCATTACTAACTAAAGTAAATTCAAAACACTGAATTTCTCTTCCACAGAAGTCAGGTTTAGCAGGACACGAGGGAAGTAAACGATGACGTTTCATTTCTGGGTGCTCGACTGCTCTCAGAGTTCAGCAGAAGGGTTGGGTAGCGTTTCAATTTGATCGATTCTGATTATCGATTCCGATTCTTATAGATTCCTAGCTTCAATTCCAATAAGATAAAAAATAATATTTTGTTCTTTGATTAACATTAATTAGGCAGTGTGTTTATTAGACTGCTGTCTCTTTAACACCGAACGCACGCAGATCTAAAAATACTGTACACGAGTGTTTTCTTTCTCATGTTTACGTTCACTTCAGACAGAAACGGCTGTGTTTATGATGATATACTGACGTAGTTTTCTGCTCACTGGTCGATAAATATGAAAAGTCAGTTCTGGCCCGGAGCGATCTTTTCTGCAGTGGAAAAGACGTCTGCGCTGCACGCAAATAGTGCGCAAGTTCTCTCCGTTCCTGCACTGAAATCATGTTAAATCACATTAAAATGCGAACGCAGGAATCGTTAAGCAGAATGGAAATGCACACGTCTCATCGAACACCCGGTTCTTGAGAATTTGGGTTTTCGATGCGCAGCCGTACTCTGCAGCGGTGAGATGTGGTACTCACAGAGAGGTCTTTGAAGGGGTGCAGCAGCAGGCCGAGGGGAAGCTTGGCCTTGTTCAGCAGAGACTGCGTCTGCGGGATACTGGTGAGAGTACAGCGGAACACCCTGCGGACGAGAAGACCGTCAGCGAGCGCACAGACCCGCACGAGAGAGAGACAGAGAGAGAGAGAGAGAGAGAGAGAGAGAGAGAGAGAGAGAGAGAGACAGAGAGAGAGGAGCACTGACTCTGGGCTGCAGCTGAGCTTCTGCAGGTCCTGCGGCAGACAGGGCACCGGCGGCGGCACGCTTCCCGCAGGAAGGAGGCTGCGCTCCTGCAGCAGGTTAATGACCCTCAGCGCCTCTGGAGGCTGAGACTGCAGGCTTAATGATGCTAACGAGGGGCTCAGCTGAGAACAGAGAGAACAGCACAAACACCAGCTTCATTCTGCCCTCAGACAATAAAGCACAAACAGTCTTAGAAAAAAACACTCATTTCTCAGCAAAGGGTCAGTAAGAGGACTTGCTTAAGTTCGTCAGCCTCGAGGTCAAACCAAATCTCATTAGCCGTTTATTCTTTCTTCATTATATTTCCTGAATTTAAGCATATGCATATTTGTATTCCTTTCATAACATTACAGTTCGATCATTACATTGCTATATAATTTTAAATGCTGCATACTGTAGTGCTGATTTGGGGAAAACCTGACAATGCAATATATCTTTTTTTTTCTGTATGTAAGTTTCATATTGTGATATGAAAAAAATAATGGACTTTTTACCAAATTACTTGAATAGTTATATTTGGAAAGAAATAATAATTCTAGAATAATTGGGGTGATTTTGTTGGGGGGAGCTTTAGCATAGAAAATAAGAAATAAAAAAACAATAATAATGACTTATCGTAATTATTATAAATATTAAACAAAATAGGAAATCTATTGTAATAATGACATTACACTGTGAAAAAAAAATACATTTCATAAAAAAATATATTTAGATTTAAATATAGATTTTTTTTATTTTGAAATAATCATGTAAAATTGAGCTTTTATTTTGGTGGTTTTTGGAAAATAAATATATAAAATATAAAAATAATTAATCTGTTTGATTAAATCATAGGCTTTGCGATTTGTGATATTGGTGCAATGTAAATTAATCATTCAGCTCCAATATATTAGAGAGGGTCAAGATCTCTGAACTGGGACAAAAAAACACCAATTTTGTATTACATAACAGTCTAACACAGGGCTATTCAATTCATCTTCATCCGACCCGAGGAAGAGTACGCAGGTCACACATACGCCTTGAATTGATTTTGCACTAATTAGTTTGTCCACAAGGTGGCAACACTGGCCCAGGCCAGCAGAAAAAGAAAGAGACGCAATAACAACAATCTACCAGGGACGGCAGCGCTGACAAGCACTTGTGTGAGGGAGTTATGAGATATCCACAACTCTAGTTTAAACGGGTTTAAAGAGTGTTATCGGTCATAACTTCTGACGAGTGCCGACACTGTACGAAGATTATTATCAACGGCAGGAGCCTATAGTTTGAAAGTCTGAGCGTTCAGCTGTACACATATGCTGAGCCGCTTCAACGGACAAAAACAAACACTGATGTACAAATACGTGGTTCTGGCGAGTTAACTTATTTAAGACTGTGTTTACGAGGTAAGCCCTAAATGACCGTAACGAGTCGGGAGAAAATCAGATATGTATCAGATCCACGTCATGTGCATCAGGATTTAAAGAGACAGCGCTGTTTTTAAACTGAAACCTGCTGCAGTCTGTGACTGATGTAACATTAAATCAAAGAACAAAAGAAAAAGAGAAATCACTCGACTGCTCTGCTTGCTGATTAACTTTTGTAGCTTAAATAAAAATTAATCAATATGGCTTATGCATACAATTTATAGTTTGTTAAGATTTTTTTAAGTTTACTTAAATTAAAAGTTGTTATATTTTTCAAAGCCTATTAAATGTTGAAAAGAATGGCTGTCAATTATACTGTAATGTTAAATAGCTATAATTAATGGCTAAAATTGAGGGAAAATGGATTTAATAGAGACATCAGTAACATTATTGGTATCAATGATACTGGTCTTCATTAATAATACACTAGTAAAAAGATGCCATTAAACATTTAAAATATGCTGTCTTTATGTTGTTTCTATATTAATTTGGAGGTTGATTTTTTTGGCAGACAGCACTAATGTTAACCTTTTATAGATGTTATTGTTGGTAATATTATTTCATTTTACTGCTGAATATGCATTTAAATTAAATTTCTAATTTAGGCCCCCAGAAAGAGATCGGGACGGCCCCTACCCCCTTAAAATTTTCAATTCGATAATCTGGCCTTAAAATGAAGCTAATTGAATAGCCCTGGTCTAACATATCTAACATCCATCTAATATCTATACCGACAATCTATTACTACTACTACAACAACAAAAAAACACCTTTAAATGTGACAGTGTGTAGAGTTCATAGAGCGAGTGCAGTGCTGAGAGAATCCTGAGCTACAGCACGAGTCTGATCTGAGACAGACGTACCTGCGGGTAGAGCTGCGTCTGCATCTGCATCTGTGTCTGCATGCCGGACACGTTCTGATAGACCGGCTGCAGTGAGGGGTAAGAGCTGGCCAGCGGCCGCTGCATCTGACCGGGGAGAGCGGGGAACACTCCTGCACACACACACACACACACACACACACAACACATGGAGAACCTTTGGAAGAACCGATTCTTCTAATCCAAGAACACAATGATAAATGATGGAAATGTCTGCTAGAGCCTCAAATGAAACGCTTCAAAAGCATTCGGTTGAGACGGCCAGACTGACGGGTCAGGCACTGCTTCTGATGTTCAGTGAAGCTGAGATGTTCTTCACCAGAACACAGATACATCTCACTATTATCAGTGACCCTGGAGCACAAAACCAGTCATAAGGGTCAGTTTTTTAAATTGAGATTTATGCATCATCTGAAAGCTGAATAATAATCTTTCCATTGATGTATGGTTTGTTAGGATAGGACAATATTTGGCTGAGATACAACTATTTGAAAATCTGGAATCTGAGGGATTTGACCCATACAATGCATTGTTGGCTATTGCTACAAATATACCCCAGCGACTTAACACTGCTTTTGTGCTGCAGGCTCACATATATTATGTAAACAAAAACTTTTATTTTGGATGCGATTAATCGTTTGACAGCACTAATGTAAATACATGTACATATATTCAATATATGTGTGTGATATACAGTGGGTACGGAAAGTATTCAGACCCCCTTAAATTTTTCACTCTTTGTTATATTGCAGCCATTTGCTAAAATAAGGGGGTCTGAATACTTTCCGTACCCACTGTATAAATATATATATATATACTGTATATATATAATAAATATACACAGTTTCAATAAAGTCTTATGAAGAGATATAATTAATTTAGAAGATGAACAAATTTCATTTAAGAATGATAATGATTACATTTCTTTTAATATGTAGCCCTGTCGTAGAATAAAGGCTTTTTACTTTGCTTACTACAGTTTGTGAGTGCCTGGATTTTTGTGTTTTGCAACAGGATCCACTCATCATTTTTGACACTTTGTTCCCTCTCTGGAGCACCCATAGCATTACCTGCGAGAGCCTGACGAGGCCCTGGTCAAGATTTCTTCTTTAAGATTTAATCTAAGCTTGACGATGATGACAGATCTCTAATATTTGGGTCGCTCATGCGGCTCTCTTACCGTCGCTGTGTGCAGGAGGAGGTGTTCCTCTCACAGCCGCTGGAGGAGGAGGAAGAGGAGGACCGACTGCAGGAGGAGGAAGAGGAGGACCAAACGTCTGAGGGGGAGCCATAACATTCAGCGCAGGAGGAGCTGCACGTCAGAAGAGGAGAAAGCAGCACATCAATGAGCATTACACAACACTATCAAGGAATAAAGCTATTCACTCTGCATAGTTTGAACCAGCTTTGGCTTCACCATCTCCAGTGTGTGTGAGTGTGTGTGTGAGAGTGTGTGTGAGAATGTGAGTGTGTGTGTGTGTCCGTGAGTGAGTGAGTGTGTGCGTGCGAGTGTGTGTGTGTGTGCGTGAGTGAGTGTGTGCGAGTGTGTGTGTGTGTGTGTGTCTGTGTGAGTGTGTGTGCGTGTGTGTGTCTGTGTGAGTGTGAGTGAGTGTGTGTGTGTGCGTGCGTGAGTGAGTGAGTGAGTGTGTGTGTCTGTGTCTGTGTGAGTGTGTGTGTGTGTGTGTGTGTGTGTGT